AATTATTTTTTTAATTGGAAAGCGGGGGAGGGGGGGAGGAGAAAACCAAGCGAATGTTTGCCTGCGGTTTGTGTAAAGCTTTCCCCAGGTAGTGGCGTCACCTCCGTGGTCGTAGAAGTTGTTAAACTTTTACCTCAGGAAGAAGGTAGCTTTTACATTTTACCTCAGGAAAGATGTCCTGTCGTGGGGATGAGCTCCGGTACTGTGCCCTCCATACCCCACGTTTCTGAGTGCGGGGCTGGCTGAGTCGCTCGGGCAAGCTATGGCCCTCCGTGGCTTTCCAGGAGCTGCCAACCCTGACAGAGGCCGAGTCCTCTTCCCCCGTTACAGGCTGGAAACTCTGAGAGCAGCGGGGCCTGGAGCCAGGCTTGCCGTTTGTTTTGAGGGCTTGTGGGAGCGTGTGCTGCTTCGTACGGGTTCAAGCAGCACCTTGTGTGGCCCGGGGCGAGGTATTTCGATAATTCAGACGGTGCCTGCTGGACTGGAACCCCCTGGGAGGAGGTTAGGTGAAGAAAGCAGGAGTAGGAAACAGGAACTTCGCGGGGGAGAAACTTATTTTCTAGGTGTTAAGAGAGGGTATACAGGAAAGTATAAAACTTTCGTATTTACCAGACTGTATAATGCTGACATAACATTTATTTGGAACCTTCAGCACCTAGCCTGTTGGCTTTGGTGGCATATAGGATCTTGCCTGTAGACAGAAAGAGCCCTCACTTTAACTTCATCATCTGTCCCCACTTGCTGGTGAACTTGTACATTGCAGCTGTTAACAGGGGAACTACCCGGTTTGTATGCTTATCCTGTGTGGCTAGGTTAACAGCAAACTTCTTTCTGTTAATTAGAAGAAGACAGTACTCCTGCTTCAAAGCACTGGGAGTTTAAAAAAAAAAAAAACCAACACGTTAGCAATGTGGTCTTTCTCTATTACAGACAAATAAAGAAACAGTAGCATGACCAAAAGCAGAAAAATATTAAAAAAAAAGAAAAAAAAGAAAAAAGCAGCCCCAAAACCCTTGAAATGCTAATGAGTCATGGGGGATAATAAATCCAACTGCTGGTAGGAGAAAAATGACGTTAGATATATGTGAGGAACTTCTGACTCATCTAGTATCAGACGTAATGACCGTAAGTGAGATGTGAAGAAATAGAAAGTTCAGCATTAAATCTAGTGATAGGACCAATCTTAGAGTTAGAGATTTTTTTTTTTTTTAATATGAAACTCTCAGTGAATTGATCTAGGAAGATAAGGGAAGATGTGAAAAGAAAACTCTACAAATGCTGGGTGTTTAGCAAAGATCAGTTCTGAGCCAGTCTAAGAAAGGAAAGGTATTAAAGGAGGTTAATGTAAGTTATTGAATCAAATTTATTATAATTTGAAGATTAAAATCAAAGCAGAGTAAGACTGTATGCCTTTAAAATGAAAACTGCTAAAAGAGTGTAGACTTTGTTATTATTATAAAAATACTATTTTGACAAAAAAGCGTAATAGTACAACACTGGTTTTGTTTCGGCACTGGATATGTACTCTGGTATTAATACTGGCATAATTATATCTGTAGTTTTATGAGTGAAAAAACCCAGACCTTGAGAACGCATTAGTGACTTGCTGTTTTTTTTTTTAAAATCCATTGAACTATATTCAAGCTCATCTGTCACAGACTTGTCCTTTTGTTTTGTTTTCACCTATTGACCTTCATGCAAATTTAATTAGAAAGTAAGAATGTAAAGGAAGAGAGCTGATCTGATACGTAAGCTACCTCATCTCTATCACTTTGGGCAACATAATAATTCAGTCTCTAATAGGCTGCCAAAATTTTTAGTATTTGAATAGACATCACTGAAGAAACTGTGTGTTTGCTTGATTCTTCTGCACACTTTCTGTCTGCTTAGAAAGGATTAATTATATTTCTGCATCTTGCCGTGGGTCTTACGAATGTTGCTTTGAAATAAATGACAAAATATGTGTTTACTGGTAATGCTAGCTGGCTTGTTATAAGCAGGGTTTTAATTATGACGAATTTTTTAATTCAGAGAATTTTTCAAATGATTTACAGAGCAGGCTATGCATTACTTCCGTGTAGACATCTTCCTTACTTTCTATGCCTTGGGCATCTGCAGTAACTGCTAGCTGGGAGAAGTTACCTTATTCTGCTGTTGCAAATTGTCTTGCCAGAGTTAACTCAGAATTCTAAGGATTTAGGGTGTGTTGTTGGGTTTCTGGGTTCAGATCTGAGATAAAGCCTTTCTTCTCTAAGCATTAAGAACTTCGTCTAGATTTTTAAAAATGGTGTTGCTGCATGACTCTGAATTTCGTTTGGAGTAATGTCAGGTCTTTGCATTGTGGTGTTGTGTTCTGTATGCTACATGTAATTGCCTGGATGTTTTGGGACAGCTTTCCAAGAAACTCCAGATTTTACATGAGCGAATAGCTAAATGAAAGTATAAAATCCGCAGTAGCTACGCATAGAGAAATGTATTCAAAGTCATGAGAAAATTTCTGTCTTTTTGAGGCATGGGAAGAGTGCAAAGGCGAGTGCTGCAGCTAGCTGCCAGAGCAGGACAGGCGAGGGGTGCTGCGGTGGCTGGCGTGTGGCTTCCTCCGCTCTCCTGCGGTGCACGCTGTGAGGTTTCTGGTGGTGTCATCATGTGCACCAAGGGGCTCTCCAGAAGTGCCAGCCACCTCCTCGTAATAAACATGCACAGGAAATTCTGTCATACCTCTTCTTCCAGTAGTTACAAGAAAGGCTTTTTTGTTTCTTGAGTATCAGTTGGCTGTTTCTTGTCAATTAACACAGGCTGATGCAGGGTCCCCTGCCAGGCTGTCAGGAAAGGCTGCTGCTGTAGGACCTTCCCCTGGTCCGGTTGCTGTTCTGCTCTTAAGATTCTTTAGATCCAGGAAGCTACATCTTTCATCTTGGAGCCTTTTGCTAGATTTAATGGTAAAATCAGTGCTTTAATTAAAACAAAAAGGTAAGGGTGTTGCCTGCAGCTCCTGCTGTTTTGGCAAGAGGGAAAATCTGGCATTTCTAATGTTTTTTTTTAAATCGTTTTAATATAATCAAACTTTTTTTTTTCTCCTTCCTTTGAATCTGTGAAGACCCGAGTATCTGACATTTTACATTTCAGGAAGGGTGAGGAAGCCAGGCTGTCTCTCTAGAAATGATGTGAAATACCAAATGTGAAATTTGAAAATGAGAGAAATGGCCCTTAATTTCTTCCAGTAATAATTGGTGGTTCTAGCAAGTAGCTGAAAATAGTTGTGTTAATTGTGACTTTTATGTAGCTTATGTAAAAATGGCTTTTTGTAAGTAGTTAGTCCAATTCCTTTACAATTGTACCGAAGTGCAACTTCCAGAGCCAAAGTGATCTAAAAGATTTGTACACATATCTGCCATCATCACTAGCATCTGTTCTTTGGTATATATGCTGAATAATGAAATTCAGTTGCAGGTCTTGCTTATTTTCAAAAGACCTTGTTGGGTATCTTTTTGACTCTTTCCTATAGTTTTTGTTACTGTATCATTTAAACACCTGTATGCAACAGGAAAGGGATTGTGATGGGTTGCCACTGGCTGGATGCCGGGTGCCCACCAAAGCTGCTCTATCACTCCCCTCCTCAGCTGGACAGGGGAGAGAAAATCTAAAAAGGCTCGTGGGTTGAGGTAAGGACAGGGAGACACTCCCTGGTTACCATCATGGTAACAAACAGACTCAATTTGGGGTAATTTATTACCAATCAAAATCAGAGTAGGATAATGAGAAAATAAAACCACTCCTGTAGCCCCACTGCTACCAAACCCTTACTGTGCAAACCCAATACAGGATTATAATGCGTTCACTTTTCCAGTTGATTTTTTCAAACAAAGTTTGGGGAGTAAAGAGTGATGGTGTTGTGTCTATGGCATTAGTTTTGGTTGTTGAGCTAGCTTGGTTTTGTTTCTTTGTTTCACCTTGTTCTTAATTATTTCTTTATGTCTTTGGAGTTGTGGTTGGGCGGGTTCTCTTCAGTCTAATTAATTTAAGTCCCTTTAGTGTATTTTACTAAATTATAATTCAGTATATTTAACCTTTTGTTTTTAAGGTAAAAAGGAAAACTGTCTAAACAAAGAGCAAAGATGCAAAGCACTTCGAATTACCTTTGGCTGTTGTCTGACGTTCTAGGACAGGGAGCTACTGCAAATGTTTTCCGAGGACGACATAAGGTTTGTGAGGAATTACTGATCTGAATGATGTGTAAAATTGAAAATTTTTCATATCTAAATAGCATTGTGAAATCAATGAAAAACTTGCAAGATTTAGGCCTAAAGCAAGTACCGCTTTCTAACTATTAATACTTAGTTTTTAATTTTTAATATTAATCCATTGGAGTTCTATACAGTTATTTCAGAGGATTTGTTTTTAATATTATATTATCTGTCCTTGTAAAACATTAACTGTTATTAATTCTTCATTCCGCCATTCTTCAGTTTTATGGAAATAATACCCCTTGCTTAAGAATTTAAATAGGAATAAAAGTCTTAACAATTTTTATTACATTATATGTTATTTTTGTCTTTGTTGAATTCTCATTTCATAGTTTTTCACTGTTCTTTTAAAACCCATTTCTTGTGATTTTAACATAATTATCATATCAGATGACTTTGCTGTTAATCTTTGTCTGAAAGTCAACGCTTCATACATGTCTAGGATACCATCTTCTTAGTGACATGCCTTGGGTAATCAGTACAAAATAGTACATCTTTGAGCAGTTTTGCCATATAAATGATATACTTATTTGTATGTTGTAACCTGAGTGAGGGGCTAAAATGACCTTACTTGTGTAGGTCATTCCATTCCCATGAATTTCACAGTACGTCTCACAAAATGAAGATAAGCCTAGTTGTGAAAGTAACAATCCCTTATAGTAAAGACAGTCTCTGTGAAATTAACATAAAGTTATATCTAAGCTACAGTGTTTTCTATGCTCTGCATTTAACTGTGAAGTAACACTAAGCAATAGCAGTTAGTGTGCTTTTCTGGGTGAGTGAATTTCAACACAGAATGATTCCACTGTAAAGCTTACGGTTTCATGGTTGCACTTCTCATCACCTTCACTAGTCTGAGCACATAACCTGCAGCTCATTGTCAATGGGAGGAAACTTTTACCTGGGCACCAGTAGTGCACGTAAGTTTACTGTACAACATACCTAGTCTACACACAGGGAGGCTTTGTCCTTAGAAAGAATCTGTCACACACAAGACTGCTAATGTGAGCTTATTCCTAGAGTGGGCTCAGAGAGGTGCTTTGCCCTAAGAGGGACGGGAGTTGTACTGTCAGCTGGTGCTGTGGGTGCCTCAGTATGTTGGGGCTTAGTCCCACTTGAGAACTTAAGTCTCTGATTAAGCTCATAACTGTGCTCCTGTCACTTATTATGTGGGTTTGAATTGCTTCAGGATTTTGCACGCGTGGTATGTAGTGCTCGACACTGTCTTCTTTGAAAAAGTAAAATACTGCTTTATTAGTATAAACAGAACAATAAAGAAAAAGAGCAACATTCAGCTTCTGAAAGTTGTCTCTTAAGTGAGCCGTGATTCTCAACTGTCATATGTGCCTGTCTCTTATTGATTTCTACAAGTGGCTTACCTCTTGCTGAAAAATTATTTTTCAGCTAAGTTTATGGGTCGTTCTTAAATGTGTAGCCTTTATTATGCCAGCTATTCTTTTTTTTTTAAAGGACTTGGGTTTTGTGGGCTAACATTGAGTTTCCATTCTGCTAGTCTGTTTGCTTCTTGTCTATATTAAACTAAACCGATATATGCATAATTCTTTTTAGTAGAATCTTAACTTCCACCTCAACGCAAAATACTATTTTGAACAATTTGTAATCTGGGTATGCTCATATGCACAACAGAAGATCTCAAAAGGCTTGGATAATGGGTATGTGTACATTTACAGCCTTATGCTTCTGTTTGATTCGTAATTTGTTTGTTTTGAACAGAAAACTGGGGATTTATATGCTGTCAAAGTATTTAACAGTATAAGTTTCCTTCGTCCTGTGGATGTTCAGATGCGAGAGTTTGAAGTATTGAAGAAATTAAATCATAAGAACATTGTCAAATTGTTTGCCATTGAAGAAGAGGTAATGAATTGTTGTAGTTGTGATCTGAGATGCATGGTAGTAACCGCAGTAACTGTCTTTTTGCTTTATCTTTGACTGTAGAGGATGAAGTTACGTTTTTAAAGAATGGTAAAATATATGATGATATAAATACTCTGACCCAACCACCACCATTTTTTCTTTTTCTTTCTTTTTTTGTTGTTGAAAGAATATGCTTGCTTTCAGTGTTTAGGCACAGTTATGATTCTTCAAAGCCATCTTGAGAAGCCACTGGCCTAAGCTTTATCTTGAATTAGGATTTTTAAGCTTTCTACACGTATGAATATTTAATACATACTCATAGTTGGAGGTGTTTCAGTAATCCTGACAATGTTATGCTTTTGCTTTGCAACCAGCTGAAATAATGACATAGGACATGTAGAACTGTATGTTAGTATGAATTGCAGTAGCTGTGCTGAAGCTGAGACTGATCAGTTGAAATGACCCAGATGCTGAGATTAATAAAGAGGAAAGAACAATTGCTGATGTCTGCTCTTCTGTGCTGCAGTTTCTCGTTTGTCCACCTATCAATACTGCTGTCAACCCTCTAAGTGCCTAGAACTTGAGGCTTTCTTAATTTTTAATCCCTCTCCAAGTTAGAATACGTGAAACAATATAAAAATTCACCTTTGCTTCTTTTGAAGATCACCAGAATGGGATTTATGATCTAGCTACAGATTTTAATTTTATTTTTTTTCTGAAAGTAAGATCCTGTGGTTATATGTAATTTCTGACATTGTTTTCACAATAGTCACAGACTTATCTTTTTTTTTTTCCAGACAACAACTAGACACAAAGTACTAGTTATGGAATTTTGTCCATGTGGGAGTTTATATACAGTTTTAGAGGAACCATCTAATGCCTTTGGTTTGCCAGAGTCTGAGTTCTTAATTGTTTTGAGAGATGTGGGTATGTAGACTTTGTTCTTTTTGTTAATTGAGCATCCTTTCTCGTTCCTATGTTCTAATGAGAAAATAAACACATATGTCTTCCTAGCTTCAGTTAACAATACAGTGTTTGTGCAGTCTGTGTCAAGATGCGTATATAAATTCTGTACTTTTTTTTTTTAAGTGGCTGGGATGAATCATCTCCGGGAGAATGGAATAGTGCACCGTGACATCAAACCAGGCAATATAATGCGTGTTATTGGTGAAGATGGTCAGTCTGTTTACAAACTTACAGACTTTGGTGCTGCAAGAGAACTTGAAGATGATGAACAATTTGTTTCTCTCTATGGCACAGAAGAATATTTAGTAAGCCCACGTGATTTCACTTTCTGTTGAAGAAATGTTTGAAGCCTGGGGCCCTTTGTGATGAGAGATGAATAGGTGACAGTCAGACTGTTGGGAATTAGCGTTTAAACTTTTGATTATAATTGTATATATAACTTTCCACCTTTTTCATCTTGGGTCATGCCAGTTCTGCTGCTGATCTGAGCACAGTAGCCTTTCGATAATTTCCAGGTCCAACTTCCACTGTTACTTTGTGTGAAAGGAAGAACAACAGTATTCTAGATATGAATGTCTTTGCCTTTATCTCTGTAGATATTTTTCAGTTTGTATCTGAGCTACTTGGGTGATGCTACGTGTAGTTAAGATACACTTACTTGATATCTTAGTTAATCAAAGAGAAGCAGGCAGAGAAGCATCCATACAAGCATCTCAGGCCTAATTTTCTTCCTGTCATGTTTTCCCACATGTAGTATCATAACTGATAGTGTCCTCTGCTATGGATCTTTTTCTAATTTGGTTTCTGTTGTTTCAGAATCATCTGGAGGAATACTGGCTTTCTGCTGTTCTTTAGTGGTCCCTGTTCTAGTAGTCAATCTTTAGCTAAATTTTAAAATATTTTTTGCAAACCTTTAATAGAAGTGGCTATCTTATGTAGGAGCACTTTTGTGATATTCTGTCAGAATAACTAAAGCAAGTTCTGTGATACAAGCTAGCTTTGCTTTTCGATTAAACAGCTGAAAGTTTAGAATGACAAATTATCTTGCTGTGAAATAATAGGTTGGTTTTTTGTTCTTAATATTGTTCATAAAGTAATTCTAACTTCTTTTTTTTTTTTTTTCTTTCTCTTTAGCATCCTGATATGTATGAGAGAGCAGTTTTGAGGAAAGAGCATCAGAAAAAGTATGGAGCAACAGTTGATCTATGGAGCATAGGGGTGACCTTTTACCATGCTGCAACAGGGAGTTTGCCTTTCCGACCTTTTGAGGGACCTCGTAGAAACAAGGAAGTGATGTAGGTAATTTAGAAGGAAGATTTTATGTTTGTAAATTAAGTCAGTCCATGAAATGCTTTTTATCAAGAAATCATACGGTATGTTTACATACAGTAAACACTAAAATAGTGAAAATATTTAACGAAAAAACTTCTTTAACTTTGTTGTGGTTTAACCCCAGTAGACAGCTAAGCACCACACAGCTGTTCGCTCACTCCTCCGCAACGGGATGGGGAAAGAGAACTGGAAGGGTAAAAGTGCGAAAAATTGTGGGTTGAGATGAAGGCAGTTTAATAAGTTAAAAAAGAAAACACTTAAAACCACCAAAAAGCCCCACCCCTAAACCGCAAGGAAAACAAAACCAAGAAAAACAAATTATGCAAAAAAAGCCCTAATTGCTGACCACCAGCCAACTGATGCCCTGTCAGTCCCTGAGCAACTACTGCCCTGGCAAATTTCCCTCCCCAGCTTTTATTGCTGAGCATGGTGTTATATGGTATGGAATATCCTTTGGTGCTAGCTGTCCTGGCTGTGTCCTCTTCCAACTTCTTGCCTACCCCTGACCTACTAGCTGGCAGGGCAGTGTGAGAAGTTGAAAAGGCCTTGACGCTGTGTTAAGCACTGCTCAGTAACGGCTAAAACATCCCGTTGTTATCAACTCTGTTTTGGTCACAAATCCAAAACACAGCACCATATGAGCTACTATGAAGAAAATTAACTCTATCCCAGACAAAATCAGTACAAACATTCTGCTTCAACAAGGATTTTGCTGTGTAGCACCTTAAGACCTGAATTAAGCACCAGAGCTCCCCCAAAATACTGCTGTATTTTGACACGTCTTTCCTTCACCATGGCGCTAAGCTGGTGTCTTGCAGTGTGCTGTGTATAACTTGGATATTCAGACAAAATTATGGTATTCTGAAACAGGTTTTCAGTGCTGCAAATGTTTTGTTGTCCTTTAAATGATTGTCTTCACAGGCAGTCTTGAAATCCATGTACTACCAATAAGATTGATGTGTTTTGAGTAACAGAATTGTGGACCGTGGCTGAAGATAATAGGGGTAGCTTCTGAATGGGAAACAAGTTGTGTCTATGATGTGCTGGTTGGAATTGATTCCCGTTTCATTTTAGTGTAGTTCTATTTTGTTGTTGCTCTGTGTTGTTGCCTTTAAAAAAATAAAGCAAGGTGGTATTTGGGAACTCTAATAGGCCAATAACATCTCTGCTCTGTTACTCCTTGTAAGGCTGACTCCAATTTTCTTAGTTTAAGGAACTGCCCATCCTGTGATTATCCCACAGGCATTCTTGTTATTGTACCTACTTGTGAGATAAGCAAGGAACATATGTTTTGTATGTACATCATCCTTCAAAAAGAGAACGCACAACTGAAATTTTCTGTTGCAAAAGCCTATTGCTCGTGATTAGTTTCATGAGAAATTTGAGAAATGCTAGCCTGTTCAGTGCAAAGTTAGACAATTCCAAATTGCTAGATATTTCCAAGTTAAAGGAATTTATCAAAGCTTTCTTTATCCCCAAGTGACTTTGTGGTGGCTAGATGGCATCTTTTGCCGTGGAACGTGCCAGAAGTCAGTCGTGTAAATGCCTAAATTGAACTGCCTTGGAAATCTGACTTTGATTAACACTTATGAAAAAACTTCAGCTTCCTTCAGTGATGCCTGAAATCTCTCCTAAATTTTTCGCAAGTCTGATGTAGACAAATTTGCTTCTCCAACATAGCCCGAAGTGCTTCCTTTTCATTGTTTACTGTTTTAGCAGCACTGTCTGTCGGCTTGTAAGTGAAGCTTCCTAGTTATTACATACCTATACAATCCGTTGTTTAGATTTGTATTATTGATACCCCTTTTAGGATTAGTTACTAGACCTATTTATGTATAAGAGGTAGTAATTGAAGTTTCTATTATTTTTATAATGTATCACAGGTATAAAATAATCACTGGAAAGCCTTCTGGTGCTATTTCTGGAATACAGAAAGCAGAAAATGGACCAATTGAATGGAGTTGGGATATGCCTGTTTCTTGTAGTCTTTCAAAGTAAGTTTGAACTTCTCACAAAGTGTTTCAATGCTACTCGATTGGACATTTCTGGTTATTCTCTCAGGATTGAGTCTTTGGAACAGAGATTTGACTGTTACAGTTGTTTTCTTTGAACTCTTCAGTAGATTGGTACAGTCTGCTATTAGGTTATCAAGTGTTTTTTCTTCCCATCTGTCCCAATAGTTTTATGACTGCTAATTTACAAATGAGCACCTGAGAATCTGAACTGCTGTGAGTATAAGAAAGATTATTACAACATTTTCTTCACCCTCAGGAAGGAGTATGAAGATTTAATAAACTTTGAATTGATGCCCCCCGCCCCCTTTCTTGTGAGAACGTGACTTCAGACATTACAAAGATTAGGCAGTAGGAAGGAAATGATAAGAAAAGACAGTTCAGAGACTTGCATTTTTGCTAGAAAACAATGCACATCAGCACATTTAGCATATTCTCATATTATCTTTTAAATTTTTTTATCACAATATTTTTGCTTCATGTGTCATAATACTCAGTAGGAGGAGCCATGGGAGATCTGATCACAATATGATCTTAAAAACACCTCCCATTTACCTATTAATCTTCCTGAGACTTCTTCAGTACTTTAAAATTGCTACTCTTTCATGGTAAAGTGAGAAAGAAGTTGTTCTGTGACTCTAGAAACAAACTTTTCTGAAAGCCAAATACGTGGATCCATAAGAGGTGTAGACTGGAAGAGTGGTTTATATCAATTCATTAGTTTATACTGTGCAGAACTTGCAATTTATATATATTTTTCCTGATACTGCTCAGTTGTTTCTTTTGCTTATTCCTTATAATTGAAGTGCTTAAATAATAAAGGAAGCAATTTTTTTCATTAAACATCTGTTTAAAGTAATATTTTTGAGTAGCATTTAAATAATATTTAATGTTATAATTTTAGTACTAAAGTGGGTTTGAGCACAGCATCCACTGACCTCTAATGAGGCTATCAATGTGCTATAAGCAACTGGAACTTGCTTCAAATCCAGTTTTACCACTGGATTTAGGTTTGATGTGTACGTAATGTTAAAACTTTGAAGAAGTTGTTCATAATAACACAGGAGTAGGATCCATAAAGTTCCTTGCAATTCAAATTCTCAAGGTAGAAATACAAGAAATTCAAGCTGGCCATTCTCCTAGAATAGTAGTGACTGTAAGGCAATAGTTGCACATTTTCTTTGCAGCAGTTGAGCTGCATGCATGGAGTACTTATTTAGCTCCATCTCAATCAGGATTAATTCTGCTAGTGTTGACAATTTAAATAATGAATCTTTGCTAACCCAGCTGATTTTGATTGAAAGCAACATAGTGTGCTCACACAAGCAGCTCAGCCAGCAAACCATAAATGGCAGTAGCTTCCTTCAAAGTGATAAATTGTGGTAAGCGTGTGGGGTGAGCTGGGTGAAAGACTACTCCCCAGCAGTGGTAGAAGGTGACCTTAGCTCTACAGTGTAGACTTTCTAAATTACATGCCATTTTTCCAATGCTCATAAAATTTGTGAAATAAAAGGAAAAAATATTTGATAGTTAAGTCTAAAATAGAAAGAGATTAAGTATGTGTATTAATTAAAAACAATAAATATTACCATTGAACATTTTGTGGTTCAATAGAGGAAAAAGAAAAAAAAACAGGCTCCGGATATTCTTCAAGGGATAGTAGATAACGCATTCATGAGAGAAATCCAATGAGGTATTACAATTGGTTACAAGGTGAAAAGATCCAAGTAGATCCAAGTTGTCTTGTCTGTTCCTTGTGTCCTCTAGGGGTCTGCAAGTACTGCTCACGCCTGTCCTTGCCAATATTCTTGAAGCAGACCAGGAAAAATGCTGGGGATTTGACCAGTTCTTTGCAGAGACGAGTGACATACTGCACCGAATAACAATCCACATCTTTTCACTACAGCAGATGACCTTGCACAAAGTTTATATTCACGGCTATAATACGTAAGTGTGTTCTTTCTCTGTTTTCATTTCTTTGCCCTTATTCAGGCGAACATTACTGTCCCCTGAGTTCACCAGTGTTAAAAATTCAGTACCCTTTCCTTGGCAGTTTGTCTGAGGAAGTGGCAGCTTGTCATTCTTCTGTGTATTCATGGTGCATAGAAGTATGTTGATCATAGAAATATTTCTAATACAAATAAAATCGTTGAAGGTCAAATCAACTGATCTTAAACTTGGTCTTAATCAGTGGCAGAACATAGTCTTAATCCTTGACATGTTACAATGTGTCTTTGTTCTTAATGGGGATACCAGCTCGTCCCACCCTTGTGTATGTTACTTATTTACAAAGTAGTTTTCCAGAGACTGTGTTCAACTCTGCTTTTCTTATCTTGTACTCAAGAATACAAAATGAGCGCATGATCTGTCTGACACAAAACTCTGACAGGGTTTCTGAAGTTGTAATTGGTACAATTTAGGATCCTGAGGTATATGGAGTTCCATTTATGGTCCTGAAGTGCTGATGTTAAAAGCTGTAAAGTCTGGTTTACAGTTTGATACAAAAATAAGTGCCTTTTTTCTGCCTTATTAAGATAATGCAAAGCATGCATTATTCTCCAATATGAGAACAGATACAGTTATTTCATCAAATGTATAAATACCATTCTGGCCTTTTCCAGTTTTTCTTTTCTCTTCTGTCATTTGTATTTTGAGAGCCCAAGTACTGTTTTTTTGTGGAGAAATCTTGCTTGCTGCTCAAATCGCTATTTGTACTTCATTTTTTAAAAATTTATTTTATTATTATTTACCTTCATGATTATTTGAATACTAGCTGTAGTATTAAGAAGTGACAGTGTACTAGTGCTGCACAGGAGGCAAATTGGTCCTTCTTGTTAGTATAGTTAAGGATCTTTTTTTTCTTTGTTAGAGGTTTTGTTTGTTTGTTCATTTGTTGTTTTGTTTTCTGGGTTGTTTTTTTTTTTTTTTGTCTCGGCAGGGAGGGAGGGTTTGTTATAAATTCTTATGCCTTGTATCCATTGATAGCTGGAAGTGAAATATCAAAGCAGCTTTGGTTTTCCTTATCACTGCTGTGTTAGGAGATAAGCTGGCTGGCTGTTAGCTTACAGGCTGAATTTAAGGTGTGTGCTTTTTGACATGTGAAACACCAGACTTTTCTCTTGGAGAGAGACATCCCTCTCCTTTGAAGAAATGGGCATGCCTGAGAAAACTAAAGTATGCGTCCTTCCTCTTATATGGCCTTGCCTGTTTTTACTGACCTTCAGACTTCAGGCCAAAGTGAGTTTGTTTACACAGACATGCTTTGGTGGAAAATCAGAGGTAGAAAGGGAAGTTTGTTATTTTGCAGGAAATAGCATTTATTTTTGTAACAGAGCAACGTGGAGCCTTAGGCAGTGTGCTGCTTTTGTTCTTATAAGTCAAATGCTTGATGTGTAAAACCAGTTCTTAATTAATCAGAAGTAAAGGAATTTTTATTTAAGTAATACAAAATCTGAATTCTTGAACTGTTGTAGTGAGTCTAACTACTACTGAATGTATTGTTTGTATTATAGAGCTGCTATATTTCATGAGTTGGTCTACAAACAGACAAAAATACCATCTCAGAATCAAGAACTACTATATGAAGGTCGGCGTTTAATACTAGAGCCTGGCAGATTGGCACAGCACTTCCCCAGAACTACTGAGGAGAATCCTATCTTTGTAGTAAGCAGGGAGGCTGTGAACATTGTCGGATTAGTCTATGAAGAAGGTATAAGAAAGTAATTTCCCCTTTCTTATAGCTATCCTTTGTAAATAGTTTGGGATATTTAATTATTGTTTTATGTCTGCCTTAGAAATAATGTTTGAAAATTTTCTCTGTTGCTACCTGAAGTTTTAAGTATGCAGTCCAATTTTCTTTCCAAAAATGCTGAGTATCCAGCATATTTTTACAGAAACAGTAGCTTCTTGTAATGTTCCTAGTGTTGTGAACCTGAGCATTTGTGGGTTAAGATGTAGTGGTGCCTATGGAGTTCTGAAATTTTTTGAAGCGTGACACTTTTAACAAGTAGGAAGGAATATTATAGAATGTAATTCAAAGCTTGTTCTTTTGTTCTATTACTCACTAAGTGGAAATTCAAGTTTTGCTTTTTTTCTATTTGTCATGAATGTGGTTAGCCTTTCAGTGCTCTTAACAACTTACCTTTGCTTAGAAGATACGGTAATGCCATAACAGAAAAAAAAGAAATTAAGTTCTTTCATTTCCATTTATCACTGAGGGGCTTATAGAGGGCCCTGTGCCAGACCCCTTTTTTATAAGAGATGAGCTAGCCAATGTGCCTCCAGTTGAGACATCAACATTGCTTTTGTCAGTATGTCCTACATACTGACTGCTCAGGCCAGCTGGCACTCACACAGAGGTGCTGAAGAGTATGGGTAGGTGAGCTGTTTGTGGAAGGATCAACAGGACCTTTATATTGTGTCAGAGCTTTCTGAAGGAGCCAATGAGCATGACAACAAAGGAGATTCAGCTGATAGAGGCTACCCTAGGTTTTCAAAAGCTGTGTGGTGAAGTCATGCCCTTAAAAGTCTCAATGAAACTAAGGAGCCATGAGGTACGAGGGAACAGTCTCCCACCCAGGCAATCACAGGGCTGAAGAACAGAAATAAATGTTTGGCTTTCTCAATGGAGAGAGATTGCTAGTGGAGACCCACGTGAAATTTGTGCTGCACAGCATGTTCAAAAGTGAGTCTGAAAAAGGAAGTGAAGGACAGTTTGCTGAAGATACCAAGTTATTTAAAGTGTTTAAGACAAAGGCTGGTTTTGAAGGTGTGCATGAGAACCACACAATATTAAAAGGCTTGACAGTAACAGATGAAACAGAATGGATTAGATGAAAATCCATGTAGATACACATAAAAACAGCGTACAAGGTGGGGAGGGGAAACAGTCTGAACTTTTGAAGTCTCTTATGGAAAATAAGAAAATACAGATGTTTGTTTTATGTTTCAGTTTTACTTCCTAAAGTACATCAACGTTATGATTTGGATGGGGATGCTAGTATGGCTAAAGTGAGTAATTATGATTTTTAATTTATATACCTGTCTCAGATAGTGATACTGAAATGAAAGCTACTTGATTTTCAGATTAATGTTATTGAAACTATTTTTAATATGCTAGTAAGGATTCTGATTAACAGAAATATATTTGTTAACAAGGACTCCAAAAGTATGTTAAAGCCATACTTTGTATACGAAATACGTTTGCATATTTTTTAAAAAAAGAACAAACGCAAAAAACATCCTTCTAAAGTCTGAGTGTTTTGTTACTGCATAATTCAGTAATGGGAGGAGGAAAGGAGCCTTGGAGTTAGCTAGAAGATTTGTAACATCCCCTGTGATGGTGCAAAATTTAACATAAGAAAAATAACGTTAATCTTTCTATAAATAGAGAGGAGTCTCTAGGACTCTGCAGGAGAGTGGAATTTCTGTTGCCTCTCCTGCAAGTTTTCAGAACCTGTGGGAGATGAGTAGAAGATGTTTTATTCTCTAGGTCATTTTTCTAAAACTACTGAATGTATGCATTGCTATGCTTTGACTTTGTGACCACCATTTATACTATGCCTATAAAATCCTGGCAGCTGAGGAGCCTTGTATTCAGGCACGGTAGTCCTGAAAGCATATGTGTCTTTGAATACCAGAAGTCTTTAGAATTAATAAACAGAAAGTCATCAGTTGATAGTAATTATTTAAAATATTGTAAATTATAATTTCTGAAACTGTTCACAATTCTAAATAATGCAGCAAAGTTGTAAGTGAAATTACGTGAATGAAGAGAGTCCCTAACCTTAGAATATAAAAATGTGTCATTTTTTACAAGTTTCTTTTAATGCATGCGTCTAATTCTTAAACTACTGAAGAAATGTACTTGTGACTTTCCAGAAATTAAAGTAAATCCTGAGAGTAAGTGGTATCATTTTTGTTTCTAAGAGACTTATTTTCATCCCTAACAGATATTTCGGTATAACTGGAAAAACTCACTCACCATGTTTAGCTCTGCCTCTGTAATGAGTGTTTGGTTATCTCCCGACTAAAGTTTGGGCAAAGTTATGCATTTTAAACTACCATCTTCATGTCACTCTTTGTTTTATTAATCTGTGTTGCTTTGTTGTGATTAATTGACTCAAAAAAATTGTTAAGAGAATGCCAGATTAGTACTAATTTCATTTGTTTTTTCCACCAGGCGGTAACAGGTATCGTGTGTTATGCCTGTAGGGTTGCCAGTTCTTTGCTACTTTACCAGGAGCTGATGCGAAAAGGAATACGATGGCTAATGTAAGCGATTGATGGAATTTCATTGAGCATTTGTTGTTGGTTTTGGTTGGGTGGTGGTTGTTTTTTTTGTTGAGACATGCCTTGATTATCAATATATAATTCTGTGATCTCCCGGTATCGTGGGAGGTTTTCTTTACTTCTTGAATATGAATAGGCTTTCTGAATTTTTTTCCTTCTTTCTCATCATTAAGGAAACAATTATTTTTTTTTCTGACAATAAAGTTTAGGCATTTGCAATTTCACTTTCTTCTGTAGATAAATTAAGTCTAACCTCTGGTAACATGCAGGTACAATTGAGCAGCTTGCACAAGATAGAGATGCATTAGTATAATCCTCATATGAAATTAACTGAAAGCAATTCTTGCTAGCAGTTATTGCAGTAGGTATAGTATTGTATTACTGACTACTGGTAAGATGGCAGTTGAATACTTATGTTATAGACTAATGCTTCACTTTTCTAGTGAAATAATCAAGGATGATTACAATGAAATGGTTCATAAAAAGACAGAGGTTGTCATCAGGCTGGATTTCTGCAGCAGAAATGTTGAAAAAGCTGAGAAAATGTGAGTAGAAGCACTACACCAAATGCATTGATTATTTTATTGTCATCTTTAATGACAGTGATATTTTAAGTTACGTTTATTTGCAGGCATTTTGCATATAAAAGTTAAATTTGAATCAGCATGGATTTGCTGATGGCAGTTACTTAAGCAGATTTAGTAATATGCTTTACTCAAATTAGAGTGTTAATTTTGCTGCTTAACGTAGTGGGAACAAGTAATTTCTGTTGAGTAGTAATTGTATGTGTTCTTTTACTTCTTTCTTCTCTGACTCCACTCGTTTTCTGTTGTTGACTTTAGAAGCTATAGTAAAGCCTGGACAAAGAATTGAGTAGCTTTTCTTTCATTAGTGATTTAGTGCCTTTGTCACTGGTTTTGCTCTTGTGTGTTTACTGAGGATGACTTTAAATACTGCCCCTGTTACACCTTTAAGACTATAGCATTTTCTGCATGGAAGGAATTTTAATGTTGAAATATAACATAGAGCAGCTGCCAAAAAAACAAAAAAAAACAAACAAAAAAACCCAAAACCCCAAACCAACCAAAACCCAAAGCTGCATTAGGATATTACTAGATCACAGTGCATGCACATAGAGGGGGCAAAAATAAACTCCACAGAAATTCTACTTCTGTCATTTTTTCAAGTGCCTGACTATTATGTTATTTTTTGTCAACTTAAGTTAATTCAAATGGGAGAGGTCTGTATCACAGTCTTAGTCTTCGCCATATGGACCCATTTAGATCTATATAGATAGTAGCAAGTTTTTTAGAGTGCTTTCTTTAAAACTGACAAAATTTATAATAGGGAGCAACTAAAAATTGTAATCTTATAGTACAGGAGTCTTCCAAGTTTCAAAGACCACAGAAGACACTTTTTTCTCTTGTCTTCATTCCAAGGAAGCAAATGTACAGCAAATGTCAGATTCTTCTGTCCCACCTCTTTCAGTCAAGTGCTGTCTGGAGATGGGATTGCACCATTAAATTCTCCCTCGAAGTTTCATTTTTTTTCTCTCTCCCAGTCTTTGTTTCATCTCCGAGTCCCACTCAATGTCCAATTCTTAGTCACGTTCCTTTCCACCTTTAAAGTGTCCTTGCAGTGTTTTGTTCAGTCTCTCCACAAACTAACATTAGCTCCATCTTTAAGGCATGTTGTCCTTATGCAGTCGGGTACAAACTTTAACCCCCAGCTCTTCGTAGGATTCTCCTATGGGTAGTTGTTTTCCTATTCAACCTACTGCCAGTCTCCCCCAAATGCCATCTTGGTCATAGGATTCACTAAACTCACTTCCAGGCTGCTCTAAAAATGTAGATGCCCGCAAGATGATTAATGCATGCATGTAGAACCATTGGATTTGCAGAGTAGACTTAAGAATAGACTTAAGCCATGTTGGAGCTGCTATGCACGTGCGAGTTGAACAGCTTGTATGTAGTAATTATGGATAGCAAAGGATTTGTCAGAGTTGCTGTGTGCATGCCAAACACGTACAAACTAATGCACCTGGGCTTTAAGGTATTGCTTTAAAAAAACCCACAACAGTGGAACTAGCAAAGTTGATAACTAGCAAGATAACAGTGTACCTGTGTAGCCTAATCATAGATCATGAGGGCTGTAATCCAAACTCTCCTTCAAGCCAGTTTACACTAGTTGACAGGACTGGTTCTTGTTCGCTCTGTACTTGGTTCCGATAGCTTCTTCCTGCATTCTGCCACGTCCCCACGGAAGGAAGCCATTTAGAGCTCAGAAGAAACCGCTGTAGGTTCTGATTTGTGACTCCAGTGCATTCAGCAGTATCTCAGAGCAGCAATTTGAATAAAAATTATGTTCACTTGCGAACTGGAGTAGTTCTCATGTGAACAGAAATTTGCTATGTGTTTGCACATGGTCTTTTGGCTTATGACAAAGGGGCAGGATTTTCAATTTATTTGACTTCAGAAAGCTTTTATGGACTTAGCAAAGGACACGTCCTCTTGTTTGTCCTCCCTTTTCAAGGCTGTGCTTCAAAGCATGACAATGCAAAGCTTTTATTTGAAAAGGTAAACAAAGTATTGAACTTGAGAAAAGTATGTATTTTTTGAAAGCAGCTGAGCTGCTTTTGATAGTGTTTTTAATAATAAAATGTGCCTGAGACTCAACAGGAAAAATCGCGTCCCAAATTATTTATTTTGCACTTGAGCTATGGTCATATGGGAAGTATCAATATGAGCAGATGGTGCTACTAACCCAGCCTATAAGGTTTTAACTCAACCATCCCAGGATTTTGGTAACTCAACCAGCCCAGGGATTTTGTAACTCAGCCTTTCCAGTAAGTTTCTACAGAAGAGCATTTTGGTGCACTGGAGTATTAGTTTGTTGTGTGTCATTGACTACTTTAAGTAACTTTAGTTTGGTAACCTTTTAAAAATTGTTTGTTGAGAGAAAATAGTTTTCCACTGCCTGTCAAGTACAAGTAATAAGAATAGAATAAAGAAGTCGGGAATGGAAGTTTCAAACTTCTTAACAGTTCAAATGTAGGAAAAAAATAAAGAATTTTCTTTTTTCATAACAAAAATGCTTCCATTATTAATGGTCACTTAAGGTTGTCAGTGTTTCATGGTTGCTGCTTGACAGATACTGTATTTCATATCAAAGAAAGGTAAGTGTTGTTAATCTCTAGATTCAAGGAATATTTTGAGTGTACTCACTGCTTGTTTATTCTCTTTTCTAACTCTGCTTTTTTGTGGTCAGATATGAGAATTTGATGCAGATCAACTTGGAAGCATCAGAAGTAGATGAAATTTCAGAGATACACACAAAACTGTTACGTGTAAGTATCTTACAAAGCCTGTGTCATTCTCAGAAACGGTGTTTCTAAAGAAATAGCCAAATACACAATAATACAGTTTTTTCTGTGAATAACAGCTCTGAATTTTCAAAGGCATTTCTAGACTGCCAAAGATTGTTAAAATGCCTGTACTGAGATGTTGATATCTTACTGAAAACAGAGTAAATCCTTTTATTAGCCCAGTACAGTGAAAATAATAAAAAGTTCCTGAAAACACAGTCTCATTTTTGGACACACTTGAGTAAAAAATTATAACCATAAAATATATTTTACTTTGAAGTTTTTTTCCCTTTCCTTAAAGAATTTTAAACTACTTTGTTGGCTTTCTAAAATGATACATACAAACACACTTCAGAGTGATGTGCTTTGAAATTTGCATCATGTTTCCAGACAAGTAAGGGAAAATTGAAAATACACGCTGCTGTCCTAAAGTTCTCCATTCTAAAAGCAAAAGGTGGTTAGTGCATTTTTGTTTTGAAGGATGTATGAACCGCTGAGAAAGAAAGGTATGAATTATGTGGATAGTCATTATATGAATCCTTAAATTAAAAGAACAAGTGTAGAAGTAAATAGGGAATATATGAAAGGTAGAAACTTACTGTTGAGAGAAAATAAATAGTAACTAACAGAAATACCAGCATCAAAGATGATTCTTTCTTTAATAATACCGTGTTTTATCTGCTTTTAGCAGAGCCTAGGCAGATAATTGGGCATATTTCTTTAATGAAGGTCAGTGAAACAAATGGGTCTATAGTATTAATGTGCTCAGTCTGTTTTCAGCCTCAAGTAATTTTTTACTTTACCCAGTGGTAAGATTGAACTTTCTTGCTCTTATGTAGCTCTCCAGCTCTCGGGGCACAATAGAAACTAGTCTTCAAGATATCAAAAACAAACTTTCTCCTGGTGGTTTACTGGCTGACACCTGGGCAAATCAGGAAGGCATGCATCCAAAAGACAGAAAGTGAGTAGCTCTATTAATTGTTTTAGTATGTATTGAATTCTACATTGAGTTGTAGTTTATAAAACTCATTAATAGATTCTTAAGTTTATATATGAAAAATCTCATTTTCTTCCTTTTGTCACTCTAGTCCAGAAAGGCTGCAGGCGCTGCTTTGTTCCATCACAGATATTTATTATCAGTTCAAAAAAGATAAAGCAGAACGAAGTAAGTAACCTATTTGATTCACTTTTAACATAAACTGAATGGAAAGGACAGGTCAGTCCTTGTTCCACTAGGATATTTGTGGTAGGAATGGAGAGTTAGTCAGCAACAGTGAATATGTCTGTAGGTCTGTCTTACTGAGGTACTGTCTTAAAGCCCATATGAACAAAACACCACTATTAATCTTACAAATTTGGATTGCAAGACGGAAGAGGAGGAAAAAAAAAAGTAAATGATCACTTTTACCTATCAGGATAGGGCAAGGAAACCATATAGGAAATGGGTAAATTTAGTGGAGTTTTACATAAATACAATTAACAGAATTAAACTGGTAATGCCTGTCATCTGCTCTGATCCTAGGACTTCCTTATAATGAAGAACAAATTCACAAGTTTGACAAGTAAGTTTTAAAGTTACCTTTGGGAAATACCATGATTGCTTTCAGGTCCTTCAGGTGCTTTTGCCAATAACCTCTTCTGTTGATTTTTATTGTAAATTATAAACTTCTTAGGACTGCTTTAAAAAGAAATTCCTTTAAATATCTTAAATACATAGGGGTACGAGCATAAGGTAATGAGGTGCTTTCTGGCAGTGGAGTTCCTTCACTCGTAGACCTTCTAAATGTAGGTGTGAAATACCTGATCGTTATTTAGGCATAACTGTCTTACAAGAAGTACTTTTTTTTTTCCTGTTTTTTTTTTTTTTTTAGAGAGGAAAAAACCCTCAGTAAGAGTGAAGTGACTTTGTAACTAAGGTGGAGATAATTTTCTACAGATGAATAAAATATGGACTAGCTGAATGACATTTTAGAATTATTTAATCTTCCAGGAAACACAGCACGCAAAATAAATTTTACTGCAGTTCTCTGTGCCTGTTTAAAATTGTCATGTATGAGAGGTGGCCACATGAAGTGTCTGTATGTAACCTGGGCGTCTAGACTATCATCAGGCTCTACTGACTAACTCTTGAGCAACTGTAAACAGCTGCTCTGCTCATGCTGCTGTACTTTTCTCAGGATCGATTCAGTTCCTCATATGCAGATGCCTAATGCTATTTAAGTTGCCCTAAGGCATCTGAGACATGCTCCGAGACTGGGAGTTAGGACACAGGACAAATGGGAAACTACACCTTTCTGGACACAGTTGGAAGCAGAGCGGGACATCCTTGTGCATCTCAAATAATTCTAGATGCTTATGTTTAATTAATTAAGTTATTCTCCTAGGGGCTGGTCAGTTGAATAGTTCCCTGGACTTTGCTGAGTGTTATATGAATTTAGACCCCTCTTCTGTGACTTTCTAAACTTCTTGCTGCTGCTACCACTAGGGTGACTTCCCTGGCAATTACAGATAGAAAGCTAACATGCAGAAGGCACTGATATTCTCACAACCATGCCACCTTATTTTCCCATAGTGAAAACGAAGTGAGGTAACTACCAAGCAGGAGGGGAGGTTGCCTTAAGATAAGGGACGGTAGGGGCTGGAAATGAGTAAGACAGATCTCGATACACTGAAAGAGACCTGAACGCATCATTGCCCTGCAACAGCAAGGAGCTGAACTTAATGTAGGAGATAACGTGAGTGATAATTTCCAATCATATGTGCTTAAGGATACCGTTGGAAAACAGGCAAACATTGGGGCGCAATCCATAGCTCATTTTAAAACTGCACGCCCTCAGGCAGATTAAAGAAAATTTAGGGCTTTTTCTACTATTCAAACTGTGTCCTTGCATTAATATGTGAATAACTTTAAAGAAATAGGCTTCATTGGTGTGGTTTTGAATAGAGGTATATTTTCTAGCACAAGTGTCTCCTTGGGATTGTTCTGGTATCTTTGAGATCCTAACTACACGTTATTTTCCTTGACCCACCCCAGAGAGAAATGGCAGTGCTTTTTATTAAAAATTTTGTGCTATTAGCAACAGAGGCCTGGCCTTTGTAATATTTACCACTAGACAGACAAGGGAGCAGCACTCAATTTGGATAATTTTTTTTCTGGTCGAATGATAGGTATGCATGCCTGATGACAACCCAACTACAGTCTAGCCAGAATTTGGTTAACCAATAGCTGTCATGCAGGACTTAATGGAATACCAGAACCAGGTGTTAGACTGTCGTGTTCCCCGGTATCCCTTAGTTTTGCTTACTGGTGCAATGCATAGCATGGTAAGGCAGTTACACTGGGATTACTGTCTGCAACACTAACCAGAATTGGGGGTTGTTTTGCTTTCCTGTCCTTATCTGCTTGCTTTTTTTCTCTTGCCATAAATTTAGGCTAACACAAAAATCCTGGATTTTTTCTTGCATGTAGATAACTCAGCACAAAGGATTATTATTATATGCTGGAAGTTCTGAGTGTCTGCTGAAGGCAAATAAAAAATAATAAGGATTTCTGTCCTTTCCATTTAGAATGCTTTTTCCTTAAATATATCTGCTTGGATAAATACTGACTCAGAGAAGATGTTTGACCATTCGTTCATATACAAATAATTGCAACCAAATGCTTCAAGTATTTTTTTTTTTTTCTCCCTGCTAGGGAAATAGTTTTGAAACAGAAACTGTCAGTTCATACAGTGTGTTGAATTCTTCTACATTACAACAGCATGAATAAAGGTGGCTTAAGAGATTTTAAGTCTGCATATCTATTCTCCAAGTTTCAGAAAGTAAGTTAGAGGAACGGAGTATTTAAAGCAGTATAACACTGTTCTGGTTCTTTCTGTGTTGCAGGCAGAAACTGTATTTGCATGCTACAAAAGCCATAGCTCTATTCAAAGATGAATGTGTCAGCAAGTATGATACATTTTTGGACAAGGCTGAGGACTGGACAAGGCAAGCTGTTGACTTCTTTAATATTTGGTAGTGTTCACTGCACCACTTTTATAAAGGAAGCACTTAAAAGAAAACTTTTTTTCTTTTAGGAAAATGCTTCACACAAGGAAGCAGTTACTGGCTCTCACCAACCAGTGTTTTGATATTGAAGAAGAGGTATCCAAATACCAGGATTATATAAATGAGGTAGAATGCTTCAAAATTATGTGAAGTGTTTGTGTAGATAAAAGACTATTCCCCATTGCTTAATGTCAATAGTGTTGTTTATAGTGAGTCTTATATTAATGCAGTTGTATTAAAATATAGGGCTGCGTGGATGTAGTATTTGGTCTGTAGTAGCTTTATTGCAGATGTTGGAGTGGCATAGACAGTGGTGTGATTTTTTTTTTTTTTTTGAATCCTGACTTGATGTTGGAGTTTGGGGTTTTTTTTTTTTTGATTTTTTGGTTTTTTTTTTTGGGGGGTGGGTTTTTTTTTTTGGGTAGTGTTAGCATTCCTCAAAAAAAAAAATCTGTGCAAATGGATGTGGGTTCATTGAGAAGTGTTCTGTGTAACTGTTATCATAATGGTATCTGAGCACCTAGAGGATTATCTTAATACTCTTGTGAAGCATAAAAACACTACTCCCATATTCAGGATTAGGGGATACACGCTTAAGGATATGTGCTAAACTAATGCTGACGTGAAATAAAATGTTTTGTTAAAATTTGGACAGTGACTCTGCAGGATGCAAACTTATCAGAATTACCTCAAAATCGAGAGAATGAGAGGATTTTCATGCAGTAAAATTATTATTCTTTACAAAGAAAATATAAATGAACGAGAAGCACCTGACAGGTGTAAAAGCAATTAAGGAATGGTGGAGAGCCATGTTTTACTTGTTATTTGTTTGTATTTTAGTAGCACTACCAAAGTCAGTTATTGATTAGGATTCTGTTGCCTTAGAATATCTACAAACATAACAAACAGATAATTTTTCCTTTTGAGAGTATATTATGAAAGTATAAGACAGTTAAGAAGATGGAACAAATCAGGGAACTATAGCTTGTGTCAATACAAAACTTCCCATGATGATCTCAACTTGGAGACTATCAGCCACCTTACTACTGTAATGATTTTGTGAGGCATCATAGCAATGGAGAATTTAAAGAAGGATTTTGAGGTGGACATCAAGATACATGTGACGACTTACATTGTAACTTACATTTCCTTTTTATCTATTACAGTTACAAGATGCTCTGCCACAGAAAATGTTTGCAGCTTCCAGTGGGGTGAAACATACAATGAATACGGTCTATCCAAGCTCAAACACATTAGTGGAAATGACTCTTGGGTGAGAATTTCTTAATTGGATCAGTGTAATATCCTCTACCTGTTATACAGGTGAACTGAAAAAAAAAATTATGGTTGACTTGGTGATTGCTGTATTAAGCTCAGGAATTTTGTTTTTCAGAAAAAACTTTATATTGCTAAAGTGGCGGTACAGATTTGGAAGCAAGTAGGGGTCAACACTAATATATCATCTGTCACTTCTAGTAAATAAGCAACCTGTTATCTGTCCCTTATTTTGTATGTAATGACAAGTTGCTGAAAGCTGTGTGGTGGTGAGTGATCATAGGAGATAAGTGTTGCTATAAAAATTGTTACCTTTCTTTTGCTTCTTGTTATTACAGTATGAAGAAACTAAAGGAGGAAATGGAAGGGGTTGTTAAAGAGCTGGCTGAGAACAATCACATTTTGGAAAGGCAAGCGATTGTTTTCCCTTTCTGGGCTGATACTAGGAACGGGCTTAATTTGGTACATTTTGTAGATCCAGAACTTAAACTAAGGGACGATTCTAGAATCTAGAACCAAAAAAAAAAAACCCAAAGTATTCAAAACCTTGAAACTTTACAGTAAAATTATTCTGACAGCAATTGTGGCATTTTTTTTCATGTTACTTACGTTTAGCTAACATAAATATCTGTTGCACAGACAGATTAATTCTGAATTTAAACACAATCCTGTTGCAGCAATCCAGTGGAGTCATTTAACTCCTCACTTTTAGATGTAATTTTTAACTGTGGAATTATACCAATCTGAATGAATGATTTTATAGCTTTCAGATTGCTTAAATAAAGGAAAGAGAAAGAGGCCAACATATTTCTTACAGTCCTGAGAGGGTATCGTCATTATCCCACACAGATTGACTTTGCTTTTCTTCCGATTATGATGATAAAATATGCAAAAATAATGATCTCCTGAAAGCTTTGGGGTAAATTGCTGGCATACCTGAGCTTAGCTTTATGCTGAATTGGTTTTTTGTTTCCCACCCCCAGTCCCATACTTGGACCATAGTATCCTTTCTTCTGTCTTCTTTTCACATACAAAAGTTAGATACACATGCATATGTTGGCATGTGGCAAGGGAAAGGAAAAACCTGTAAATAAAATATAATTAATTAAGGATTGATTCTATAATCTAGTCAATCACCTAAGAATACACTGTTTTTTCATTTTAGATTTGGTGCTTTGACTATGGATGGTGGCCTGCGGAACGTGGACTGTATCTAGCTTTCAAAAGACCTGAAGAGGACTTGTAAATTTTTTTCAAAGGGGAAAAAAAAAAAGCCTGTTGGGACATTTAAGGCAGATAATAAATCTGTATCCATTTTTTTTTTTCCCTTGACAACTGTAGTATTAAAAATTGTAAATATGTATAATATGTAAATATAAAAGAAATATATATCTTTTTTGGTCAATGTTAGGCTAGAATTATTATTGGCAGGGAATTTAGCCCCTTGGAGGATCTCTGATGAAGTCCTAAAGGCAAGTGTGTTGTTGATGAAATTGGCATTTGTTTGCCTTGAATATTACCCTTTTTTTCAGGATGCAATTGAGTCTTTATTGCAAGAGGACTTGCAGAATTTAAAGAGTGTATTGAGTTTCCTTTAACCACCACTGTTATTTTGGAGTCTAGCTGAATGACTCTGCTCATCATACAACATGTTTTAAATGACATCTTTTTAAATAAGTGTGAATAGGGACTAAAAGCACAGATAGGACAGAGTGGAAACACATTTGTCTTTCCTTCACATCCAAAATGTTAGTTCAGTTCTACTTGAGCAAACAAATTCACAAGATTTTGTGAAGTTCCTCTCCATATTTGGTGCCATGTTGTCTGTAATCATTTGACTGCTCTGTATATAGAAGTTTTGCACTTCAGGTTGTCAGACTGAATATAAAACCTCCTTTTTTAGAGCACAGCATTTTCAGAATTTCCCTGAAATCTTGTCACTCACCACAAGAGAAACAGGTTCTTAAAATAAAATAGCTTTTTCAGAGTCCTGTTTGCAGGCATAATTTTTTTAAAAATGTTAAAAATCCGTATTAGGAGAATTTGCGGGCAGTCAGTAGACTAGATAGCGTTATGCTTCAGTGGTAACTGAATATTGGAAAAATAAGTTGCTGGTCTAGATATTGAAAAGGGACCACACCCGCTGCTGACTTACAACAGACATGCCAAATGTAGGTGGAAAATTTAGTAAGATTGTATATTTATTTTCCAGTATCAGTGGTTACTACTTTCAGTACGATGTGATTGGGTTGCAGAGATGCAGAATGAAACAGTCTCCTCCAAAATATGTAGGAGAGGAGAAAGAGAAGAGGAAAACAAACAAAAATTCAGAAAACGGATACTCCAGGTGTACTTGTTTGTTTTCAGCCAAAGAGCATGCAAATATTGCAGGACTCATTCTTTCCTTGTGGAAACCTGACCATGGATGTTCAATGGCGTCCAGTAGCACTTCTAATTGCTATATTACATCTGTAACAAGAGCTGCATCAATTATATTTAGAATTTTCTGTAACTAATGGTGAAACATTTAGGTGTAAACTAAACAGCGGTAATCTGTGATAGCAGCTGACAGTTTTGTGATGCTTATTCCCTGCTTATCTGTCCAGGGCAGAATACAAAACATTTCCATTATATTTTTTTAAAAAAATATTTGAATAGAAACTGATTAAATTCATAATTGATTCTTTCGTGGTTAAAAGAAGATGAAATTCGCTGCCTTGATGTCTGAGACCTGCTTTCCAGTGTCTTGGTGAGAATCAAATATTGAAAGGGAATTCACACATTTTTACACCTACATGAGCAGCTTCTTTCTTCGCAAGCTTTGTCCCCCAAAAAATCTAGCTATGCAAAAGGAGTGCAACAGTTTGCTATATTTTTCTCCTTGGTTAGCGGTGGCATTCTTAACTGTTTGTTTTAAAATACTGGAATCGTGTCTAACTGGAATGTTTTAGTGCCTGCTTGTACACTTCTTTGTTCATGTCCGCAGTCTCACTGAGTGTCAGTAAAACACATGCGTAAGTGTTAAAAGAATTGGGCTTTTGAACTGTGCGTAAATTATATTTTTTCCCAATATTATGTCTGTAACACTTCGTTGTTTCAAAGGTTCTTAATTTTGAAAGAAATCAAGTGTTAGTTGAAGTATATAAATTTCAACTTCCTTATACTGAAGCAGTCTGAAAAAGAAAGATAATTGCAGTAATGATATAGTCTGTATATTGAAGTATGTGTGGCATTCTTTTACATGGTTGAAAATTTTATATTTTATGTTCATTTTAAACATTGCTGGTTTTAGTGTTGCTAAATACATCAGTAATCTTAATCTTGTTAAAATTTCTTTTTCTAAAGCAATTTTAACTAAGCAGTAGCTAAGGAACTTGAAGTGATCAGTTCATAATTTACTGATTACGTTCTTATGAAGCCAATATATTTTTCACGTCAAAGCACAGTGTATAGTACCATCAATTTTTGGCTCAAACTAAGTGTCCTGATACTATCAGTCATGCTACTGATTTGCCAAAAGAAGTAATAGAAAGTAATATATGGTTCTTCCTCCTGAAGCACGGGGGGTTCCTCCTGTTTTGGGGGGTTTAGCTTAGTATATTAATTATCTGTTACTTGAACAAATGTGTCTTCATATGAATTGTGAAAATGCATGAGTGAATGATTTAACGACATAAATACATCATCAGCCACTTACTGTATAGTGTGTACTTGCTTCTGTGTCTTTCCATAATTTCACTTCTGTTCATTTCGGTATTACCTTAGAATTTTTATTTCTCCGTAAGTACGATACAAAGCCTGAAACGTGAAGTAGCAAGTTGCAGCCTAGCTTGCACTAGCCAGCTGTCCAGGAAAAGCGTCCCGTACAACGGAATCACCGGCACAGGCTGTAAGGTAGAGCCACTAATCCTTTTTATTTATTTCTTAACCACTCTGCTGGTACGCGTTCTGATCAAAATTAGTTCTCTGTAACAGTAGCAAAATTCCTAGTCCCTGCTCAGTGTGACACAGTACACTGGTGGCGCTCAGTCAGTGCTAATTTAGCTAATTATTCTATGATTACCACTTTTGCAGTCATTTTGGATATAGTACTATGACAAGGATTAAAAAGGCTGAATGGAAAAAGATTACTTTGGGGTTTTTTTCTAAGCTCAAAGCCTAACAGAGGGGAGATGTGGAATAAACTGCAGTTGCGTAAACTTGTTTGGGTAAAATTAAACACTGAACTATTACTAAGTAGTTGCACAGCTGGCTGTTACTGTGAAATCCCTTCCAGGGAGGGCATGGTAATTGGTTTGGGTAGCCATGTTTGCTTAGTTAAACTGGTGATGGCTTCTAGCTAGGGACCTGAAAAATCAACAGGGTGGACTCTCCACTCCGCTCTGTGCAGAGGAAAGCTTGGTTCAACTGTGGTGAGCACTTTTAAACTGGCTTGTCCCTAAAAAATAAAAAAGATACTGGCCACCTGAAGATAAGTTAGGGGAAAAAAAAAAGAATGGCCAGGGTCTGGAAAACTCACCTGAGAGGGGCTGGGGGAAAAAAAAAAAGGGAGTTGGCTGGCTGAAAGAACATTGGAAGAAGGCGGACCAAAAGTCTTCAGTCAAGGTTGTTACAGAAGATCAGCGTTCACCACCATGTCTGTGGTGAAAGGATTAGAGACTATGAATATAAATTGTAGTGCAAGAAACAAAACAATCCAGACTACAAGTTTGGAAAGATCTTTCTGATCATGAAGAGAGTCAAGTGCTGGAACAGATTGTTCTGGGAACTGAGCAGTACCGATTACAGAGGGGTTTTAGGAATTGGTTAACTGTTGGGAGCTCTTGTGGCCCATTCTGCCATTGCCAAGGCTGCACGAGCTTTTAATTTTCTGTGCTCTAAACAGCTTTTGTTTTTTTTAATTTGTTCCATTGATCACAAAAAAAACCCCAGTAGAGGTAGCATGCCTCGGGGGAAATTGCTATTTTGACACTGGTACCAGCCTGGCCAGCAGTGGTTGAGTGGTTGTGCTCGTAGATGTCCACTTGGGCATCTTTTGGAGAACTTTACTTCCTATTGACAAAGACTGATAGCAACAGGTAGAGCTGCTGATGTGCTATAAATACGGGCATACTGCAGTGGTTTGAGGTTGTATTCTGCTCCTGAAAACTTGTGCGAATGTTGAAGTCTGTGACTACCCAGGCTTCCACAGCCGCCCAGTCAAGGTACAGGCTGTGTCACCGCTGCCTAGCTGCGGGAAACATTTCCCAGATCAGCTGCTTTAAGTAATTTAGGCAGATCATTTAAATCTGAATCTACTGAAGCACATCACCAGCTCTTGCCAGCTCCCCCTGTGCCAGCATGAGGGGTGCTTCAGCATCCTGGAGTACGTGTATGACATAGAATGTGGGGTTTGTTAGAGACCGCAGAGCCGGTTGCGAGCAAGCGCGTCCGGCCGTGCAGCCCTGCGCCACGCTGGGGAGAGCCGAGCTGGGCACCGCCAGCCGTGAGCTTCACTTGGCACCACCAGCTGTGAGCTTTGCTTGGCAGGCACTTTTGCTAACTCATGGCGAAAGAAAATGACGCTGGCACCATCGTGCTGCTGCTCCCGCAGTGACAGCCATGGGAGCCCTACAGCAGTTTTAGATTTAAGCAAACAGGAGCCGTTTACAAGCTTTAAAGAAATCAAGTGAAAAGACTTAACTTTTTTTTTTTTTTCCCCCCACTTTCATTCCTTGGAACCTTCTGCATGAATGTGCACATGAATTGTTCATAAATCCTGTTTCTCTACATCTTGAAAATGCTTTACTGCCTACAGCCCACTTTATACCACTGGAAATCTGTGCAGGGCTGCGTTAAAACAGCCCCTGCTTCTCATGCCTCGGCGATGCGACAGTCACACGCACCAGTAAACTCACCAGCGACATTTTCTGAAGGTTTGATGCATCTGGGCTTTACCTTTTTGGTTACGAAAAGGCAGGCTGGGCTGGGGGAGCCATCGGCGGGGCCGGGGCCCGTCCTGTGCCCGCCTCAACCCCCCTGTCCCGAGACCGGCGGAGCTACCGGCCCTCACCTGCCGCGGCGGCTCCCTCAGACCCTCCCCCTGGAAACTTCAGCTGGGGGAACAAACAAACAAAAGGAAACAAAACAAAAAACCACAAACCAAAGTCGCCACAAAGCAGTGTATCATTGTGTCTTAATTGTTTTATCTGCGGTAGGAAAACGTACCTCCTGGAAACGCTTCGCATCTTCTGTTTTAATATACGTTATTAGCGAATGCCGTGAAAACGGCAGGAAAAAGCGCTCCTCGCACCGAG